TTGGAGACCAGCTGAATCAGGTTCTTTAGTAATAATACCATCCAACCTTGGTAACACTTGCATCTTTGTTTTCCCTAAATTGTTTTTACTGCAGAGTGTCCCAATGGGGAAGGTTAAGTTCACTTTCTACCTGGTCCTAGAGGTGCCTCTGTAAAGGGAATCTCCTTCTACCACACTCAACTACAAGCCTATACTCCCAGATCAACACCAGCCCTGTTCTGAGGTCTTCCCCTCAAAATGTTTTAGTACTTCTGCTTGTATTGCTCCAGGATGTCCATGTACCTATCAATGACCGGACTCTCCATGAAACCAAGGCTCTAATCACAGAAGGGATGGCTTTGGCTGCACAGAGGTGGATCAAGATCTTGCAAATCTGCAATGGCAGTAACTGCCTTTGCCTGAATCTGTAAAAAACCCAGACTCAATCAAGGAAGAGGCAAGAAGAAAGTAAAACTTCTTGCCACAAGTAAAACTCACTAGGTTTTTAGGAACACCTGTTTATCTCTTCACACTCTGCACTTGCTTAATTCGGCCTTTTCATCTGACCACCTCTGTCAGTCACCCAAAGAAATCCTCTGTTTAAAAAGAAGAATCTTTCTTCTTCACTTGGCCATTCAACATGCCAGGCTTATATATCCCAGAATGAATGACAAACAATTAAAATATTTTTTTATTAAAAATCAACATATTTATACATTTGTACATTCCACATACTGCCGTGTATGTTCACCAACATAACCACTAAGTCAGAAAGCGTTACCAGCACAGACTTCCATCTGAACAAACTTACTGCAGGGGAACTTGAGTTTCATAATCAGACATTAGAGAGTGCCATTAACTTATTTTCTTCTTTTCCCTGGAAAAGTAGCAGCACATCTAATTATCAGTGTCCACAAGGCATAAGCCCCAAAGTGTTGCATAGCAAGAGCAATATTACTTAGTAAATATAGGTAATAGAAAGAGAGCTCACAATGAAAATGTATTAGTTGCTGTCTCTTGTACACAGCAGGATGTTAATAAAACAGAGCTATGCTGAATGGAGACTGCAGAAGATCAGGAAGAGTAACAAAATGTTACTTCTTGATAAAACTGCATTAAAAAAATAATTCAGAATAGGAGTCCTGCAAAGAACAGATGTTGTTATAAAGATTCAGCAGTCAGGATAATGCTTCTGTTCAAATAGGTCATAAGGGCCTTGCAAAACACATGCATACTCCAGTATGTGACATTTTATTGAAGCAAGACAGATGGGCTCAGGAGTCCACCCAGAACTCAAGATTTACACCCATGCCAATTAAGTGCTAGAAGAGTGACATTAATGAGGTAAAAAAAGCTGGGAAGTTTTTGGAGATCGGGAGCTAGGAGAGCAAAGACAGAAGTTCTCACCGTAACCTGGACTCCTGTGCACACCTGAGCCACCACAGAACAGGCTGCTCCAACAAGTCAGTTCACAGGTACCTGTGCTGTGCTCATGGTCACACAAAACAATTGCTTATTTTCTCCAGACTCTGAGATCCGAATTCTTGCGATATAATCAATGTGATAACTTACTCATTTAAATCATAGACATGAAGAACTAATTGAAATTTTCTCTCATAAATATACAGCCATTAATCTTATTTCAAGCAGAGTGCCAGATTCCGTGCATTTTTTTCTCATTAGTATTTTTCCTCCTTTTTTAATGTGCGTATGAAGACATATACACGTCACAGGTAATTTTTATGTGAGGAAGTGTGGAGATATGAAAGATTAGAAAAGCTTTTTGTATGTATCAGCAATTGTAAAAAAAGTCAGAGCTGCAACAGAAGCTACATGTTAAACAAATGTGTCTCAGTATCTGCATCCACGTGAGAGATTAATCTAATTTATTATGTCCTGAATTACATACTGTCACATAAAAAAAAAAAAAAATCAGCACTTTGGCTTTGGTTTTCACACATACAAAAATTGGAGGAGACTGACTGGGAAAAAAAAAAGAAGATTCATTACAAACACAAATTTAGCAAGAGCTAAATTAAGAAGGAATATTCCGATAATGTCCTCCCTCCATAACCCCTAAATGGAGAGAAAAAGATTGTATCAAGCTTAAAGTCTCAGAACCCATTTAATTTCCAAACTGGAAGGACGGTCAAAGAAATACTCCTCATTCCTGCCTCTCCTCCTTCATGTATCCACTCAGCAATTGAAAACCTGATTACCTCCCTCTTTGCTGCTGCAGCCACACCAGAAGAACCTACCCCAGCAGCAATGCTGTCCCAGGACTTCAGATATACCAAACAAGGATGAGCAAATTGAGAGTGACAAAACAGAAGGAGGAACTCAGGTTCTCCAACATGAAGTTCTCTTACCCAAGAGGTGTTGTAGCTGCCTTCTACCTAAGGGAATTTGAATGCAGAGCTCTCATAAATTTCCTGGTGGTACAAATACCACGCACCTCTCTGATGGAGGCTGTCATTTCCTCTGGTTGAGTATATCCCAGTTGCTCAAGCGGAATTCACACACATCCTCCACCTGCCACCTCCCTGCTGAGCTCTTGGCTCACAATGGGTTTGTTTTGGTTTTTTTGCTTTTTCTCTTTGTTATCGTGGGACTTCAATATTAATTCAGCCAAATGAGTTCTAGTATAAAATTAAACACAGAAACAGGTAACAATGTATGAATCAAATGTCAATATTTTTTCCATTCCACATTTCTGGGGGCTAAAAAGAGCTAGACCCCCCCAAACTTAAACATTAACCACTCTTTTAGTCATCTATGATTGCAAATATGCTACCTTGCATTTATGTTTTGCTGTGTGTACAATTACTATTACTGCTGCATTTTAGCCAAAGTACAAATCTGAAAAAAATACCAAATATTAATGAAGAATAGTTTAATCCTTTAAAGTCATACCTTTTCATGCAATAACAATAAATAACTTCCTTGTAGTCTGGAATGGCATGATCTCTGTTCCACTGCAACACTAGTTCACAAGAGTAAGTTAATCACTACCCAGTGGCCAGAACTAGTCTTAATCATGGAAAGCGGCATTTGTTACCTCCTCATTAGATCGGAACAAAGCACACTGAGGATGTTGGCATCAAAGTATTTCTTAGGAATCACATGCTACTGTACACAAAAAGATTATCAGCATATATATTATCAGAATTCATCATTTCCTATCAGCAAATATCTGGAGGACAGGGTACTACAATTTTTTCAATGTTGTTATTCCCAGTTGTATAAACAATATTTGAAAACCATGAATACAAGCTACAGAAGAATCTGCTCATGCCAGTGCAACACAGCAGAATGACTCACATCAGAATTAAGACAGAAATGCCCACAATTTGTCTTTTTTGAAGGTGCCTTTCACTAAACATGGCTAGCTTCTTAGTAGAAAGTGCTACAAAACTCCTTACTTGGGTTTTATTTGTTTTTTAAAACCCAAAGCAACACCTATACTTTTCTGATTTCAAACTCAGAAAAGATCCAAAGGTCTTTCTGCTTCAAAGACAAAGACGTAGGTTTTTTTTTTCCCCTGGATGTAGTCTGGTTGCCCCTTCCCAGAGGCAGCACTATGCTTACATTGCTCTTTTGTAAGCCAACCTTTCCCTAACAGGAGACCTCTGCCTAGACTGCATCTAGAAGACACCACACAGACACCCCATTTTGCTGAGAGTCTCCACTCTGATTTGGAACGCTGGACCAGCGAGCAGTGCACTAACTCAGTTGCACTCTGGTCAATAACCTTGGTATTTATTAGAGCTTTACAGAATCAAAAGAAATGCTTTGAGTTAAAAATATTTAAGTTTTATTTCAAGTTGTCACTTCTGACCATGTCTTGTGGGAAGCTGCTTCTTTTAGACTGATTGCTTCAAATTGGTTGAATAGCAATCTGGGTACTTCTCTGGGTAGTTCAGTAAAGGGCTTTTTGTTGTTATTTGAAAAACCTTAGTTTACTGAATGTTTTGTAGAATATAACACATACAGTACCCTTGTAGTGCACCTTTGTAGATTTCTTCCCAACTATAAGTTCTTTTTGTGATTTTAATTGCACAAAGTCACCCAACAAGTACTAAAACCTATTCTTTATTCTCGTGGAGTTCCAATCTGCCCTAAGTTACATTATAGCAAATATTTAGCACATAACCTGTACACTTATGTATCAGCTACATCCTTACCCTCCAAAGAAACTCTAGAATGATATAAGATCAATTCATTCAACTGTATGTACAATATATTTGCATATTAATAAATAAATCAATATTAAAGTTAAGGTCTCTTCCCCCATATAAAAGTGACTACAGTCTGACCAGACAATCCAACTGTTTTTCTTCCAAGTACAGCTGTGTGACTGAGGATATCAGTTTCCACTCAGTTTATTCCTGTAACTGTAGGAGTAGAAACCTAACGGACCAGTGCTTACATTTAAATTCTATATAGCAGAGGAGGGGGGAGGAAGTAATAAAAAGTGCATCAAAAGCAAACAATTTGTGGAGCAAAAATCAAGTTCATAATGTGATCCTGGGGAAGAGAATCCAGCCCAAAAGAGGACATGCTGCAGCAAACATTATAACCAATGCACATTTTTGTCTTGATAGTAAGCTGCACGATGTCAGTCTTGTTCTGAGGACTCCAACAGATGCCATCTCCACGTCTACAAATTCATCAACACCATATTCAGTGCAAAGTGACATTTCTTAAAATAACTGTTTGCTTTGTGTCCATAACATTCATCCTTACTGTGAAGAAAAGGCTCATTTTCTGTTTATTACTATATACAGAAGAGCCTATATTTGCACTTCTTCATTTCTGGTAGTGAATTTTCTATCTACATTCATTAGAAATCAAAGAGATAAGTGGCAATATTACATATTGACTGGAAGCCTTCCCATTAACAAAAATACTAGTAGTTGTTCTTGATTTATTCCTAAAGTAGCTGCACTTTGTTCCTTTTTTCAGCCCACTTTCAATGGGGTATAAGTCATGGGAACCTGTGAGTGGGACCAGAACATGTTTCAAGTCTGATTGCTGGAGCTAGAAAAGTGATGAGTCATGTTGGAATTCAGATGTCTGTTTGCAGCACAGTGTGTGTGGACCAGACCCCCATTTGGGTATCTTACAAATACAGGCTCGCAGAAAGGATTTTGGCACACCTGACAGACCTTCTTGTCTGAAAGAAGAATTGGGGCTCCTTTTTGTTTAACCTAAAGAGAAGGAAAAAAATCCAAACATGAATCTAGCAAGAAACAAAGGGACATTACAAGGCATATAATTTCAGCTGTACCAAATGGACAAACCTGGTCAATTACAGAGGTGGTAGGAAAAGCCAGCTTGAACTGTTTACTTTGAATTCTACTTCCGAATTCACACTCATTCATTTTTATGCTTCAAGCACTGCTTTTTAATTTATTTATTTTTTTGTCTTTTTTAAATAAAGAAAAGCACTCACGCATTTAATGCAGATGAAAACCTGATGCAATTTCCTGAACAATGTCACAGGACAACTTCACAGCAAAATGAGCACTGATGCATTTTTACTCCAGGCAGATTCTACTAGATGCAACATTGTTAGAACTAAACTTAAGAATCTGATGGGAGCTTTGAGCAACACAGCTCTAGCTAGGAACAGAAGAAAGTTGCACAGGTGCATTTACCACTAACAAAAGATACTAACAAGCTTCAGTTAATACTAAGTGCAGGGTAAACTTTTTTGCCAATTCTGACAGGTTTCAAACCTGGTGAAAAACTGCTAACTCACATTTGTTAAAGCTTCTATAAGAACTTCATGAATGTATGAATTCCAAATTTACTTCCATTGGGCCCAGAAGTTCAGCAAAGTTGTTCCTATTTCAAGACCTTCACCCTCCCCTTTTGTTTTACAGAGAAACCATATAGTTGAGTCTAGCAGTCATTGCAAAAAAACCCAAATACAGCAAGTAAAACTGCCAAGGACATAAAGAAACTTTGTCCTAATTCTTTAAACTTCTTCTGATTATTATATATCAAAGGACTTGATTTTAAAGCTTCAAAGTGCCTCTAAAAAAACAACCAACAAACCCAACGTACCTTCTCGTGTTTGTAGATTAAGTTTTCAGCTTGTGCTAACCCAAGCGCAGCCTGAGTCATTCTTTTTGTATGAATGCTTTGCCTCACTGCTCCAGCCAGGAAAGGGGAGAGGAGCTGCACTGACCAGCTGTCAGGCACCAGCTGCAAAACCAGAGCTGCATCAAATTCAGCAGCATGGTTGTTCAAGAGATCCACAGCAGCCATGGCTAGTGCACAATCCGAAGTGCCTGGACTTAGATATACTGTCAGCAGCATATGGAAAAGCCGCCGTCTGTACTGCACATCTCTGCTCTCAGAGTTCCAGAGACAGTATTCTTCAGCAGCATGGAAGTCCTTTAACTCGTGGACAAGGATATACAAAGCCTTCTCGTGTTCTTCTAGTTTCCCATATAAAATTGCACTTTCCATATGAAGGTCTGTGCCCTGGATTTTGTCTGTTAAAAGAGAAGCAAGACAATACTTACTCAGTGGAGGAGACGACTATTCTGTCTCCCAGACAAACAAGCCCACATAACTCAACTCCTGCTATTTTTGCCAGGATGCTGGCAGCTAGAAAGATGTTTCCAAGTGCAAGAATGCCTAGATGTATGGAAACACATCTCTAATAGAAGAGCACCACAAAGTATGGGGAAAACAAATTACTAAACAACAGGTGATAAACCAGCATCACTGGCTTTCTTTAAATTCCAGCAGGCCAGTCTTGCACATTTCTGTGCACACTGCTAACACGTATGGGAAACTGCAAGATGAAGCTGCAATATTTTTAACCTTTGCTTCTCCCAATGTTATAGAAATGTACAGAATAGTTTAAAGTCCATATAAAGATCAAATAGTATTTCTCCAAGAAAAGGTTACTACAAACCCTTAATCCAGTCTGACAGTTTAAAATTAAGTGTCAGTGACAGGCATAAGGAACAGGAAGTTCTTCTGGCATTTCAAGATGAAGTAGAAAATGCTCTACTTACTGTAAAGGTGATAAAGAATTTGCATCGGTCTCTGTGAAAGGTATGGGAATACAATGTATTTCCCCAAAAACTATTTTGGTTATTAAGGAGGAACATGCTAGCATGCCTGGATCTCACCTTTATGTATGGTAAGAATTGTCATATAAGAAATCCCATGTTTTGAGTACACAGATTTCATGAAAATAATCCATCTCCTGCTCTTAAAAATTTGTCTAAATATCAAAAGGTGAAAAGGAGCAACAGCTGCAATGACTTTATTATATTTGTATGTTATCTGTCATATAAGGTTTCTCAGACTGTAAACGGGATGTTAAACACTGTTAAATTATTTAAGTTGCTACTCTGCTATTTTATTCCCACACCCACTGGATTTTTCCACTGAATTTCAAAAAAACATTTCACATCTCCCAGTACAATAAAAAGTCATTCCCCTTTTTTAAATTAACTTGTGTCTGTCAGAAATACAGCAGGTAAGCCTATTGATCAAATGCACCCAGAAACCTCAGATCTTTTTAGTTTTCTGTCCTTATGAGGACTTGGACTTTGCTTTCTGCTAGAATGGACATTCAGCATTTGTAATAGACAAAATGCACCTTACCTAAAATGAAGTGTTTTCTATAAAGATCAGATTTTTGAAGAAGACTTCGTAGTTTAAACAGAAGTTCAGTTGTTTCTGTACAATTATCTGTGGCCACAGATTTTAGTTGAAGTATTGCCTCCAAGTACAAGACAGCTAGATGAGTATGGTACTTCTCTTTCTACAAACAAAAAGAACAATGTTAGCTCAGGGTACAAAGACAACCCCTTCTCCCCACCAATAACAGTAATGAATATTTACACAGTTACATAGAAATGTGGTTTAATTTATTTAATTTGAATTTATCAGTCTTTTTTTCATGCTGATTACACAACTCATTCAGATCAGCTTCTTAAAATACACTATATCTTTACTATGGGATTCTCTATTTAATTAATACTGGTATTTCCAAAAGGGAATTATAAAACATCTTACTCCTAAACCCATATTCACCTTAAAGAAACAAACCCTATAAATAGCTTTCATAGTTCCTTTCAGAAGTTGACCTAATGAATACCAATGCAGTAAAGCAGGTCTCTCTGCTTTAAGTATGAACTCCAGTGTGTCTTTTCCTTTTGTTTCCCTTGCAAAAAGAGTAATTATGATCTAATTAATTCCTCCTCATATTCAGGTACATTCTTTGACCTTTTCTATTTCTGCAGCAAAATCTGAGAAAGCCACCAGAGGGAGACAAGCAGTCTGAAAGCACAATGCTTTTTGTGTTTTCCATTACCCAATATTCACCAAAACAAGTTGATAGTGGCTGAAACATTCTCACTAAAGCATTCACAACAACCTAGTACTTTCTAATGACCTGAATCAATTAATAACCCAGCCTTTACTAGCAGGTAGATCTATTTAGAAATTATTTTTGTTACAAATATTCTACAAGTCACTATGTTTAACTCAAGAAGTTGGTCTGAAAATACTCGTTACATTAGAAAACGAGTACATTCATCCATTATGGTATCACACACCTTAATGTATTTACAATAGTGACAGAAGGACACCATTGATCTAGCATGTATATTTGAAGAACATAAACTAGTGAAGTGATCATAAATTTGGCTGAGTTCTATCAATGTTCATTTCCTTGAGTTATTTGCAAGTAAATTCTCCTGTGCTTAAAATATCTCGTAACAAGTAGCATAATGTTTGGCTCCTTCTGTACTGTGCTTAAAAATCCAAAGGCAGAATATACTATCACTTACAACTTGTGAACACATCTTTTGGACATTAAAGAGTGGTTTGGAATTCTACAGTGAGAGGTGCATGGTTTAATTCTATCACTAATTGCTGAATCTCTCCAGAGGACAGAATAAAACATACCTACTTGTAAAACTGAACTAGCAATTTTAGTGTATTGCTGCCACAATGCAATGGGATTAGCAGTTGATCCACTGTTTTTTTATGATCAAACCAGATGGGAGATTTAAGCCTTATAGGTGAAACAGAAAGGCATACAATACTCAGATGTAAAAGCAAAAAAACAAACCAGACCTCCACAGCGAGGTAAGCAACTGTCTTGCCATCATGAGAACTGAAAAGTTAAAAATAACGCAGATATCTGCTCCTCATGTTCCCCTTTAATCTTAAACCCACTTGTACTCTACTCTGAGTACATCTGAAAGCCTTCAAATTACGTTTATTTCTTTTAGAGTGGCTTTTTTCAAAGTTGTTCATCACAATCTGCATTCTGAATACTAAGCCTATTTTTAGTATTCTTGTAGGACTCACCTCTATTTTTCTTTCCAATACCAGATGTTCTAGATATTTAACACGTGCTTTAGGATATTTGTTAAGGCAACTGATTATATCATCTGGATTAATGTTGTTTTTCTCCTGTTGTTCCAAAGGCCTTTTAGTGAAAATCTGTACACCAACCTAGAAAGAGTTAATTGCATTTAAGAACTCAGGGGCAACCATCCTATGACTTATATTTCATACTTATTTAATAGCACTATCATATTAGTTATCACATTATTCAGAAAAATAACACAAAAGCCTGACTCAACATCACCAAGTTTACACTACTTATTGTTCTTATTGTGACCTCACTCAGTCCTATCCCCATTAACTCAATTCCTGGTCCAGCCTATAAACCTTGCATTGGACACAACCTCCAACAATCACAAAAATAAGCAAACAGATCTGCCTAACAGCAGAAAAAACTTCAGCCTTTGTAGCAAGAAAGTGTAAATTAGAGACCAGAATGTTTACAGCCTTATCAAATATGATAACATATATGGAGCAAGACACTTCTATAATGACCAAAACAAAGATTTAGGAATATGTTGTTTCATGTAATAAATGAGCTTTAAATTAATAAAAATTAGGCAGTGACAAGTTCCAACAGCAGAAACTGTTTGATATACCACCAAGCATCCCCTTTAACAGCACACCATGCTAATGGATGTTACAAATTTTATCTTTTTAAAAATTTTGGTAGATTAAGTTAACTCTTATAGCAATGAGGTTTTGTCTTGAATGACAGCTATTTGTGTCACATCCTAGTGTACGTAGATATTACTCATCCCTGGAATCCTTTTAAAAAAGGAACAGCAGCAACACCTAACCTGTTACATGATGATTTTTTTTGGTTTTTTTTGGTAAGATCTGAAAATCACATTCCTTAGTATGAAGAAAAACAGAAGACATGCTGTATTGTAGAGAATGACCTAAATTTTTGTTTTCAGAAGAAAGAGGCAATTATTGTTACCACTTGTTAACAAAGAGACCTAGAAGAAACAGGAAACCTTTATTCTGTTGATCACTATTTAACTGGCATTAAATATTCTGAAAAAAAGGTTCAATTACTTATCAAGATGGAACACCACCACCCAAACACCACTGCAGTGAAACACTTAATATTTATGAATTTCTGTGAAAAATACACCAATCACAAACCTCTTCATTTTTTTGTAAAACCCACTCAGAATATTTCCACACTAGATCTTGGTCAGAGCAGAATGTAAGAAAGTCTACTATATATTCATAGAGATCTGAACGTGTAGAATCTTGAATGTCTCCATCAACTATTTTCACCCATAACTGCAAGGAAAACACACAGATTAAAGTGCTTAAAACATGTGCTAGTTCTTCCAGCTCAAAATTTACATCAGCTACTACTACACTTAGTATTAGCTACTGGTAGTTGTGGAATTAGGAAGAGCTCCAAGGAACACCAACCTCATTGGTCACTAAATGTATGTCTCCCCTCCATAACAGGCTTTACTTGGACCTGCCATATTCAACTAATTCAGACCCTGTATCATGTGGGTTCTCATTCTGAGAGTGATTAATCTGAGTACTTCAGGAGGAGGTACACTAATCTCCAAGAAAGTTATCCATAAAAGTCCCTTTCTCCAATGTGTGGTACACTTTTCATGTGTTCAGTGAATGCAACATTTCAGGCAGATGATACAATTTAGAGGAAAAGCTGATTTTTTTTTTTTTTACTTTCATTTTGACTGGAGAACTTTAAGTACTGTGTGAAATTATTTATATATATATTGTAATTGGAATTTAAAAGTGCCACATCTAGCAGACCAGTTTAGCAATGCACCTTGTTCCTTGAAATATAAAGAAAAATACCTTGCAACTGACAAAGTACGTAGTGGTTTTTTGTCCTTACTCGTTTGCTGCTCGTTTGCTGTTTACGTAACAGACTTGAATTCACTCAGTGTTACTGTGATTAACACACTCAAAAAGCGACACAGTGAGGCAAACTACTCCAGGTATTGGATATGGTCTGAGACATATATATTATTCATCAAGCAAGAGCATATTAGTTTTTGTAGGTGCAGTTTTGCAGACAGACCACTGCTAGTCTTAAGGACAGCAAAAGGGGTCCCCCCAAAGGGATTAGTAGCCCAGCTGAAAGCCACAGATCTTGCAGAAAGTGTTCATTGTCCATCATTAGATAAGGAAATAAACTCTTAGTTGCTGTCAGCATCTGCCATAAGATCACAATGTTGCTCTGCTGTGTATACAGACTAATCAGCATAGGGTATGTTCCTCAAGTCCCACAGACATGTTTCTAAGTGATCTATTGATTGTTTTAGCTCTTCTGCCCATCTTCTAAGAGTACAAACATATGTTCTGGCATGCACAGTTTTGCTTAAAAAATAACATACGAGCATCTAAATAGCTGTTATCCTCAGTAAGCTCTTCAGGTTCTTCAAATTTAGCACACTAATTTATCCAAGGAACTTTTAGCATAAATTTCCCATATATACACACTGTTATTTGTCAAACACATATATTAGCACCTCAGATTTTTATTTCAGAGTTAAACTGGTATTTTGGCATGGTTTACAGATGACACTAAAAGCTTTATTCTAACCTGAAGTGCTGCTGCATCCTGACCATTGTAGTGATACAGGAGACCAAGGGCAAAATACCTATATAGAAAGAAAAAAATATTTTAACAGCTTGATCTTTCTTATCAATTTGGTTCTGTCTGATTAGCATAAAATGTAATTTAGTGACATGTACACAGCTATACCTACACATTAACAAGTGTAGCAAGAAAGTGTAAGCTCTGTAAGCTCGTTTTCACACAGAAAGGAGAGAATTTCTGTCCTAGAAATGTCTGTCTCTCCTGTCTCTAAGGCAGTTTCTAGTTATCAGCTCCAACTTAAATTGTGTCAAATTAGAGATGATTCTCCTGCCGTTCTTTGATTCTTATATAAAAACTTAAGACTCAGCTCCAAATAATAAATATTCCTCCAATAGTCAATCAGGTGTTGTAAAATCAAATTTTTATGATGCTTTTACTTAAAACTGTTTTACTATCAGAAACATTTTTTTTTAGTGCAGCATGACACCAAGGCAGGCAAGGAACAGCTTTGTACAGTACCACTACAGTTTTTTTGTGTGTGCTGTAATAAAAATACAGCTAGAATTCTCTAAAGGCTGTTCTCACAGAACAATGTTTGCAAAAAAACTTGGCACACAAACTTACCAGGAGGATTTAACAAAACCCTTGAAATAAATTAAATTACTCTATAGCTACCCACAATTAGACTCCTCCTCACCACAGAAGTTGCTACTACTACACCACACAATTTAAAGATTAAAAATTAAATCCAAAACAGAGACACTACCTACAATTGGTGCTTGCATTTTACACATTTACTATCTGGTGTTCTCCGCTTAATGACAGTCAATTCTCCACCTGCTGGTATTTTCAAATTGAAGTCATTTGCAGTCATCTTAAGCAATCTCCTTTTGGTGAATCAGTGGGAGCCCAGAAAGTATGCAATTCAAAAGTAAGATCTCTTTTCCTGAATAAGAAACTACAGTTTTAAAGCCACTAGACAGTTAATAGCTTCTGCCTAAGGTAATCCATGCTTTAAGGCATCTTTTTATTCTGTTCATGTACCACCACTCCATCCATTTGACTCTCACGTTGCCACAAGGGCAAACAAAACACTTTTTTCCCCTCTACATCAGTACCAATCCCTTATTTTTTATTGGATGAAGAAAGAAAGGGAGAACTCTCTATTTACTCTCTATAAAACAAAGTATTTCCTTCACCTCAGTCTATCAATTAATACCTTTCCACCAACATTTTAAAATGCTGCCAAGTCAGGCCAAGCTGTCTTTTTGACCTGAAGGCACAAAAACTGTAAGGACTGGAACACATCGCTCTAGAAGCATTTAAGACAATCCTCTCTCTGATCTCCAAGGTAAAATACTCATAATCCACTCACTTTTTGTGCTTTTCAAGCCAGGCAGCACTATCTGTTAAGAGACAAAAGTTCTCTGAAACTAGCAGATCCAGCAGGCTTTCATGATTTGCCTCTGCATATAGCTTGAGCAATGCTGTGTCGATATCTTCCTTGTAGCCATTTGCCACCTCAGTGCTGCGGACTTCATTCAAGTAACTCATGAGGAATCGTTTGCATTTTGTCATCTTCTCCTGGTCCCCTTGGGTCAGCTGGTTTAGGTCCGCGTACTCATGCAGAGGGGGATGAGACCGTATAAATGAAGAGGAAGTAGGCAACAGGAAGGGGTAGAGAGAGATCAGCTCCCGGACATCAAGCTGGCCGCTTCTGCAATTACAGTGTCAAACTAGATGAAGCAAAAAGAAAGAAAAAGTATACATAGGCACAAAAAAGTAACGTACTGGGAATGTGTGCTCACATATGCTTAGAGTCAGGACACTAACAGGTTGGTCAGTTTCTGAAAATTATTCCCTTCTATGCTGGAGAAAACACACTCAGAACAAATTTGGAATTATTTTTGCTATTTCTATCCAAACTTCTTTATAATTCTTCTTCCTTTTCTAGACATTGAAAGCTCTGAGAATTCAGAGACTGGTCAGGCCTTTTGCTTTTGATATGCCACAAATGTTCTGTGGGATAGATAAAAAAAGTAAATCATCTGAATAGCTTTAGTGCAGTTCCTAGGACTGTCCTAGACTTCACCCATGCATTATGTGAGCTAGTCTTCCGATAAAGGCAAAAAAATGTGGAAAGAGCGAACCCCTTCAGCCAAGCCATAAAGACTGTGCAAGCATAAATCTGTACAAAACAGCAGCCTCCTCTAGAAAAGCTTTCAGAACATGTGTTGGATGATGAAAACATTTTTTCCCAATCCTGAAATGCACCAGATTCCGCCTCTGGCTCACTTCTTAAAGGTGTTCTGAAAATGATCTGTGGATATTGTAGATTATGCATCTGTCTAATCAGTAAGTAGCAGTTTATTCTATGTCAGATACTGTGGAGTGGCTTCACCTATGAAGGACATCTACACCTTATGCAGGTGCCAGCTGTAGCATAGATATGTCACACATGACTTCTCTTTCAGCCTAGATTGGATACACTCCTCAAGCACTTGAAGAATGCATGTTGCGACAGAACAATAGAACAAGATGCTTTTTCACACATGGCAAACAATTCCCCAGTTTTCACAGCTAGAATGACTCCTCCTCTCACTCTCTGCTTTAGAAGCCGAGTAAGAAATAAGGATTTATATTTTACTTCACTGTCAAAGTCATTATTCAGAATTAATCTTGAAAGACAAACATCCCTGAAATGCAGGAGATACTGTTGATGAAGAATTAAAAATTACTGACATTTATCTAAAGGAAACCCTGGTTAGTTACTATTTTGTTGCAAATAAAACTTTCAGAAACTAGTTCTTCTCTATCTGGTGATCAGCAACCTGAGAAACAGTTTCCCTTCACAATCTTGATTGGAAAGAATTCCAAAAAGAAACAAATTATAACAATGGAAGCAGACAAAGCAGCAGATTTCTGCAGGCAATAAAGTGTGAAAGATCCTCACAAGCAGGCTCTTCCTTTC